ATAACACTGTTGTCATAGAAAAAAAGTAATATCAGAAGGAGCAGCACACATTCTGAAACCATTTATTTTGTCAACATAAATCTTTACTCAGTTTTAGATTTACTCACAGTGGGAAAAGTAACCAAAACATTCACTCAAGTACTTGAAAATAAAGAGTTACTTCCAACTAAATTAACTAAATATAGCTCAAGGAGGAGTAGAAGTGTAGCCTGATTCATGAGCCGGTTTCAGTTCGTGGAAACCGTCTGACCTCGAAGCATTAGGATTTGTTCACTCAATGGTAGGCGGGTACTTTTTTTAATTTAACCAATTGTTGCTGTTTGCTCGTGATGTATGTAATGCACCAAATCCCGTAGGAAGAAGGGCAATAATGTCACTCCCCTTGATAAAATTCACTTAACATTCTCTTTGTTCCGGATTTAAATCCTTGATCTCGGGAATCGCTGCCAATACAGAATGTATGGCTTCGTCTACATCCATCTCGACTGCTTTGTTTACTGTTGTGCTGTACCACAAAAGGGACCCAGACAGGTGCTTGAGTTTGACGTTATGGCTTCACAGCTCTTCGCTGATTGGCCGGTGCGTGGTCTACAACTTCCGTGGTTCTTGCAAATCGTCTAGTGTATTCCGATTCGTGACCTAGTCGCTGGAGAGAAATGAAATTGAGCAGAGGCACTAGATGGCGCCAGCCTGGCTAATAGAAGTATACAGTGTTCAAAAACTACACTGAGAAGGGAAAGAAGCTCCTTGGATCAATAGTAAACATAAAACATATTACACACACTTAAAGAGTGGATATTTTACATCTTTGGGGTATGTCATTCCCCCTTCAGAGTGCTATCACAACACAATCTACTGCATATCGCTTCAGGTTTGTGAAGTTGTTGTATTTCTAATCATGCTTTTGTATATTTATGATCGATTGTCACATGGGAGCATGGACTATGTACCTTGTGGGATGAGAACTGGAAATAATCTTAAAGCTAAGCATAAGGCTGAGAGAGAGAGAGGGGTAAATTACTCAAACATGAATGGATGACATCTAAAATCTCTTTAGGCATGTTTTTAATGAAGGAACATGCTAGAAAGCTAAGAAAATGTATAACTTTTGCAATACCTTTTAAAAAAGAGTTTTACCATTATTTTAAGAATTGCTGGAGTGAAAATGAATATAGGGGATTTGTATATGTCAAATCCAGCCACTTTACCTGTGATTCAGACTCCATTCTGAATAAATATGAGCCTTCTCTGGTCCTACAGCAGCACATACCCTGAAAATGCAGCAGGAGATAATTGGTGAACCCCCCACATCTTATCTCTATGTCTGGACCTGGGTCACACAAACACGCAATGAAACTGCAGAGTAATGCAATGTTCAAAACACAATGGGAGAATATAGTAATTTAATATATATTTATTTATTTTTATATAAATCAAACATCTAAACCCAGTGAGAGCCACATAAGACTTCTCAGGACACTATTATGCCAAGTTATTTTCTGACATCCTATGATTTTTTTCACACTCTGAATATTGTATTACCACCTGGTCACTTGCTGCCGGCACAATACTGAAACTAAATCAAATCTCTTTTTAAAAACCATGCATGTTTTATTTTCAGTGTTCTGCACAGACTCATTTCCCCCTCCATTGAAAGACTCGATTAACCCAGTGTGCTCAAAGCGACTCATATCCTTCCTCCGACAATAAAAGAAAGTCCATCACCTTCAAATCACACTTTAAACTGCGACTGAACCGATATTTCATAATTAAAATAATAAAATGTAATGCGCATGTCTTGGTGCAGTGACTAAACAACATTTTAAAGTTTCAAGTGTCCTCTGTCTGAACCCATGCATAATTTAATATAAGCAGCTGATTGGTTGTTGAGGGACTTGACTTGTTTCTGAATTTTACAAAATCACAAAGAAAAGCTAATTTTTGTTTGATTACGTCTAATTATGCCACTTTCATCCATCAAAAAAGTAATTAGTAACTTTCTTTTCTATTCTTTTTATGACAGTCATGTTCAAACTGATGGTAAGCCATGAAAATTACGGTACTTCAAATTGCGGTACATGTGTCACTAAATCACTTTTGGAGTAAGTGCAGTATTTGTGAGACAGCTACGGTACAAAGACTTTTAAAATAACTCATCTGTGCCAACACCTGCCCAGGTGAGAATCAGAGAGTCAGATTACTCACATCAGATGTAACTGCTCATATGACATTGTTAGTCCAGAAATCAGATTATGATCAGATTTTTGATGTGCATCATAGATTGTATAAATAAATGGACATTGGTAAACAGCTAGTGATCGCGTCTCAAATGGAAAGTGTTCATGGAGGTGCGCCCGGCTCAAATTAACTTTACATTAATGCATAAATTGTCACCCCTCTCTGTAACTGCTGCAGTGAGCCTTGTTATTTTGGTCTTAAAATGTTTGCATTAACCCGCTCTTCATGATCCTGGTGTTTTTATTTTGATATTTTTTGCGTTTTTCTAATTTTTAATAAGAACCTGGCTCCAAAATCGCTCCGATATCTGCTAGCATCATGAGCTTCATTTGACTGGAGCCGAATGCTATAGGCACTCTCTTAATCCATTTATTTATAGTCTATTTTTCCATGGGGCCAGAAAATATTGTGGAGGTCCGGGCCAAAATGCTTAATTCAATTCTGCATAATATTAATTGTATTTCTTTATAAAAAGCAGTAAATAGCATTGTTTAGATGAGCTGGTAAGACTGGAACGAGTTTATGTTACGAATAAGAAATGAAAAAGTGAGGATCCCTTACAAAAAATGTCACTTAAAAAACACCTCTAAAATAAAAGCAATGCAGTCAACCAAAAGTCCGTATGTGGACCAGGAGCTGTACAATGCCCAGGTCTGGTCTATGATGTGCAGATATTGTTGTCGTTATAAACCCATGTGTACTTTAAAATAAACATTTCATTTTTCTTCAGTTTGCCTCGAATGACTTGTTTCTGAATTTAAAAAAATCACAAATAAAAGCTTTGATTATAAAACATCTAAACCACTTCTTTCATCAACACACAAAATTAGCAACTTTGATTTCTATTATTTTTATTACAGTCATTTTCAAATTCATTACAAGCTGTGATTACAATTACCTTACCAAAGCAGGTTGACTTGTTGTACAATATATACAGATGATTATTCGAGTATTGTATAGTTACTGTAGCATGTAATAACTAATATACTTTATAATAAATATTTGAGCACAATTTACCCCATTGTCATGACAGGCAAAGTAATTACAGCATTCAGTGCACAGAACAGGGAGCCACATAGAACATTGCATTAGTATTATACATTAAATAGATTACACAGGACATGACAGCTCTTATCATAAGCATGCATGTTCATATCCGCTTTCTCTTATAGGAAAACAACTCATTAAAAGCTCAAAAAACACTATTGGTTTTAAAGTACATATGACAGGTTATGCAACAGTTTTCATTAAAATGTTAACACAATCATATATAAATATTTTACAAGTATAGTTTTCCCTGTTTCCATATTTTTGGCCAAGTGTTGTCTAAGTTTACTTACTGGTAAGAGATGGGCAGAAGATGTGACAGTTGTAGCCTAGCAACCAAACTGTAAACAAAGGTCACAATACTAATCTAATTTACACAATATAATAATATAATTAATTAAAATACAGGTGTATGTTGCTGTTTTGTTAAATAGATGTTTAAATTGCCATTGATCAAGGCCACATATAGAAATAGATTTGTAACAGCCGCAGACCAATACAGCAGGTCTTTCATATGTTATATTATAAGAGTCACAGTACCCACAAAAACACTCAGGACACTAATTTATTAGATATTATTGCAAATATATTTCATTATAGGGATCTAAAAATAACCAAAATATCATGCTATTGTATCATCAAAAGTCTCTCAATAATATCATGGACCATCACGATATATTGAATTAAAGTCTCCTTGCTTAAATTCATAGTTATGGTGCAGCAAAGGGAACTACATAGACCATAATTCTTTGCTCTATTTCTCTCCAGTTTACAGGATGAAATAACTTATTAATCACTTTTAAATCTTAACTCTGTAGTTTATGACAGAACCAAAGTCTTGTTAAGGTATTTTTCAAGGGAAAAGCAGCAGCATATTCTCAATTTTGTTAGCCTCTATAACAGTGGTGTCAAACTCAAATTCACAGAGGGCCAAAATTTAAAACTGAGACCAAGTCGTGGGCCAAGATAAATATTGAAAAATTTCAACAACAGCTGCATGTTTTATCTTCTTTCGAGATATGTAATGTTAATGTTAATGTGTTCTTATTAAAATAAATGTTTAATAATAGTTTTGCTTAAACATTGAATCCTGAACAAACATAATATAAAAAAAAATAATAACAATAATTTTAAATAAATAATGTAAACAATTTTAAATAAATAATGTCTCTATAGCTATCTCTAGCCAACATATTTTAATACATATTTAATGATGATGATCTCACAGGCCAAATATAATTATACTGCGGGCCAAATTTGAGTTTGACATGTCTGCTCTAGAAAATATCCCAATAAATATCGTACAGTGAAATGCATATCGCGAAAATATCATACAGAGAAATTTGGGTATCGTTACACCCCTAGTTAATTATAATGTTTTTTATTAAATAGTCATTGGATTTATACAGCGCCTTTCTAGACACCCAAAGCGCTGTACAATGCATTATTCATTCACTCCACACTTGGTAATGGTAAGCCACTATTGTAGCCACAGCTGCCCTGGGACAAATTGACAGACATGAGCCTGCTAATCTGCGCCATCTGCCCCTCCAACACTCATGCACACACCACATTCACACCATATTTAGAACTAGTTGTAGAAATAAAATTGCAGCAGAAAGTACTGATCATTTGGAGCAGGAGGCTTAAGGGTTATCAGAAATAGTTTGGACACCCGTGACATAAACAGAAGGATTTCTATTTCGAACTCAGCTCTACTTCTTGTATTTTTCAACTACTGTTCTTAAACTTCACAAACTGCCACTTGACTGGAGTAAAACTATTAAAAAATACATATTTACCACAAGTACTATCCCACCAAACAAAGTAATAACTAGATAAACATGAAAACCTGTCATATGCACTTTAAATATTCCATTGGCTCTACGGGCGTCGTGCTGAGTTGGATTGTACTTCTGGTTATATAAGACAAACAATACAACAAAAAATACATGAGCAAAGTACAATTTAGATTAAGATGGGAAAAAGTGGTTTTGCATTGCAGAGAGCTGGTTCAATTTCAAGTCTATGGACAGGCAGGGTGCACAGAATAATTTCCTTATTAGCGGTGGGAGGAGGAGCGCTTCAGAGAGATGGTGCTAGGGGGCGCTGTGGTATCCAGGTGTTGTAAGTGTGAGGGCAGATTGGGGGCGCTGGCATCTCTTTGTTGGTGAAAGTGCAGGCAGAAGAAGAAGGATACGAGGAGATCAGTTGTTGTTGTTGTTGTTGGACATGATCCACCAGGAAGCTGCAAAAATAACCACAGTCAGTCAATCTACAGGAACTCTTATATTTTTCTGTCAGACAGGTGATCAGCGTCCAGAAAAGTGACGTCCTGTTCTACTTCAACAACTCCTCCATCCCCAAAGATCTCTGTTTCCTTATTCAGACTCTCATCATGTTGGCCAAGAATCATATATGTACACAAAACAAAATGGACCCAAAACATACCAAATGGTCTTCATTATAATAACGAAATACAGCAATACTTCAGATCCAACAGTCCAAAACAAAAAAGCTATTAAAACATATAATATCTATAGGAAATATTTATAACAATATCACTCTCCTACATTTTGCTAGGTGGTGGATACCTCTGCCACCACTCCATAATGTCAGTATTATTTAATTTAATTTCATTTAAATTGCGATAATTGCATTACACACTTTAATTCCTTTATTTAGACTTATATTCTAATTTGAGTGCACACATTTTAGTTAATATAAGTCTGATTTACTTACACTTGTTCTTTTTGTTTTTTTGAGCACCAGACGGAGGACCCTCGGGAGAGACCATCATGACTCAACAAGGGGGGAGGAAGCACTATTTAGTTTGTTTAGTTTGTGTTAAGGTCACTTTATTATCAGTTATTATTTTCTGTATTATAATGATTTGCCTTCTTGTTACTTTGATTAAGTGAGTAGTTTAGTTAATTATTTAGTGTAATTCCTCCCTCTGGTGTTCAGCTTTAGCAGCTTTAATTTTTAAATTTTTTTTTTTAAACAGATGTATTCATGGGGGCGATTTTGGCTCCATCGACTCTGGCTCCAATTGACTTTACATTGCGAGCCTCATCATTTTGGTCTTAAAATGTTCGCATTAACCTGCTCTACATGAACCTGGTGTTTTTATTTTACACGTAAATAAACTCCTGTTTCTAATATGGCCGAGGCTCCAATTTGCTCCTGTAACCGTTAGCCTCAGTGAGCTTCATTTGACTGGAGTTGAACGCTATGGGTGACGTCACACTCAGTCCACTTCTTTAAACAGTTTATGATATGTATAGACCATTTAAAATACCACAACTCACCCTTATGTAACAGATAATACTCCCTACAACTGTACAACTCACCCTGATGTAACAGATAACCCTATGTCCCTTCAATCATCATATCATTCTTGCACTGTCTTCCTCTTGTATAAAGCTGTGATTTTATATTTTATTACTTATCTTTCTTTTTTTTTTGACTTGTACATTTACATTTATATAAATATGTCTTATTTGAAACCTGTCTCTTGCTATCTTTTTTGCTACTTATTTAGAATTTATTATTACCATTTATATGTTTGCTCTTTGTTATTATATTATATTGTGATGTGTGAGCTACTCCAAATAATTTCCCTTGTGGATCAATAAAGTTTCTCTATAAGTCTAAGTTTATTCTTTAATTTTATTTGACCTTTATTTAATCAGGAGGTATCACTGAGATTCAGAATCAATTTTTCAAGAGAGCTGGCCAAGGGAGAAGCCAACCTAATCAATACATGTAAATACAGTAGAGGAAAATCACAAAATATCACATTATAAAAACATTTGCATCTCTCAAGAAAAGCACACGCATCTCAAATCTTTTACATTTTTTTTTTAAGCTTATCAAGTGACATCATGGAAAACAATTTAAGATTTGTTGGTAAATGACTCCAAGACCATGGTGCTGTGTAGGAAAAGGCAGATTTTCCCAGCTCAGTGAGTTTCCCGAGTGTGGCTTTGTAAATAAATGTGAAAAAATGCTGTTTTGTGTGAATTGCCAGTGATGTCCAGCCAACTAAACCATAAAGACTGCAGTGATGAGACACACACACACACACACACACACACACTAACTATCACTGTCACTCTGATTCCATTGTCTGATGTACAGAAAAGAAAAAGCAGACTGTGCAAAAGCAGAGGATCTTTTCAGGATTGTACAGTTTTGGTTCACACTGGACCGAGTACATAAGCTCTATGATCATGATGAAGGCTTGAAGTTTTGCTAAAAAAAACAAACAAAAATCCCATTACAAAGCATGGAAAATAAACTATATTCTAGCCTCAACATTGTATATTCTGCAGATAAAATGAAAAACAATAGTGGGGTCAACATTTATGTGAGTATATGTCGAGTACATATAAGTAAACTTCATAAACCTAGTCTACTGTTGTGTGACCAGGGTAAAACACAAAAAATTCAACAGAGGAAGGGCCAGGTCTCCATAGAAACCAAGAGATTCAGGCGTAGACAATTACGCAAGAGGAAATGCTGCAGAGACCCTGCTCACACATAACTGTACAGATATTGTACAGTATAGTATAGTATAGTTGTAGCTCATTTCAAAGCTACTTTTTCATCAAGATTCTGTCATTTTTAGTTGTCAGTAATCAGCTTGGGACTTAAATCAAAATGAGATTGTTAAATGTCACTCAGTAATGTTTATGTTCAGAGAAGGTATATTGTAAGTCTTTTTTATTTGTTTTTACTGGGACAAAATAAAATCGAAATAAAATGGCAGAATGGTGGCTGGGTGGCTAGCACTCACGCTTCACAGCAAGAAGGTTCTGGATTAAATTCTTGGATCGACTGGGCTTTCTGTGTGGAGTTTGCATGTTCTCCCTGTGTCTGGGTGGGTTTTTTCTGGGCACTACAATTTACGCCATCAACCTAAAACATGCACCATCCCATTACCACACAGAGACAATAAAGGGTGTACCTTAACCTTAAAGGGACAGTCTGGAATTTTGGACATAGGACCTCATTTCCTAGTGAGCCAGAGTATTGGAGACGTGTGGAGACACTTTTTAAAATATTCCATCCAGTCCTTGTATTTGCACAGGTCGCTGGTGCTAGGCTAGTGCATGTCAATGGCCATAGTTAGCCTGCCACTAAAAACCTTACCCACCCTCTTACCCACAGCATAAAGCACCGAAGACAAAAAAATTATAATGCCAGACTGTCCATGTAAATGTCTGTGTTGATAGAATCATTTTAGAAGTAAAACCAACCTTGCATTTGAAGGATTTATGTCTGAGCAACAGCAGCAGTGAGTTGTACTTCCTGATAGAAAGCTCAGCAGCGGCGGACTGATATATGAGAAAATAGTCCCTCAACATGTGACAATTCATGCAATGCAAGGTTAGTATTCTATCAAAACATACATTCACACCGACAGTCTATCGTAATAACAGATTTGCTTCGGGTACACTGTGGAGTGGGTAAGACTGTTTTTAGTGGCAGGCTAACTATGGCCATTGACATGTACTAGCCTAGCACCAGCGACAGAAATGACGTCCTATGTCCATGATTCCAGACTGTCCCTTTAAAATTGTGATTGTATATATATATATATATATATATATAGAAAAAAAGCTCCCAGGCCTGGGAGCTTGAGAGTTCTGCGCAGTATCTTTGCTGTTCCAGTACTGCACTTTTCTGGACTGAGATGTCCATTGTTTTTCCCCAGTATCTGTTTAGCCACTCTTTCCAGTTTGGGGGTTACAGCCCCGAGTGCTCCGATCACCACAGGCACCACTGATGCCTTTACTTTCCAGGCTCTCTCCAGCTCTTCCTTGAGCCCCTGGTATTTCTCTAGCTTCTCGTGTTCCTTTTCCTGATATATCTATATATATATATATATATATATATATATATATATATATATATATAAACAAATCATACACATTTACCACACAATATTGCTTTCTCTACTAACTATTCGATTCCCTGCAGTAAACAAGAATTTCAGATGCTTGCAGGTGCAGCAATCTCGTCAACAGCCCTGTCCACTGCCAAGTGTGCCACCATGTTTCATTTATTTTGGTTTTATCGACTGAGCAGAGCCTGTCCTGCCCTGACACAGTGCTCCATCCATCCTCCTAATCAGAGCCTAGTGCCTGTATCGAATCTACAGCAGCTGACCTCATCTCCAGACCTCTTAATGATCCAATCTGAGGAGCGGCCGCAGGAGCAAAGGGACACCATCATAACTATGTCACTAACAGAGGCAGCACAAGTAAACACAAAGAAACTGTAATCACATCCCGGCAAGGCATCCATCTTTATGTGTAGAAAAAAAAAAAAAAAAAAAAATATTTCGAGCAAGAAAAAGTGCAATGCTGGTTCACTAAACAACATACACAATAAGACTGCAGAGTTAAGGGAAACAAATATTTATGATTGCAATTTTCTTGATTTTACATTTTTGTTAAAGGTACTCGTGTAACTGTGTTTAAGTTTATTTATATAGCACATTTAAAACAACTTCAGCTGACCAAAGTGCTTCACGTACAAATCAACAAAACAGAAGAAACAGTTACATATACAGATATACAGATAACATGTGAAAAAAACATTAAAAACACCAAGATAAACTAACTAGCTAGTACTAAAAGCCAGGGAGAAGAGCTGAGCTTTCAGTCTAGTCTTAAACTCTGTTACAGACTGAGAGGATCTGACAGGAAGAGGAAGGTTGTTCCACAGTCCGGGCGCTGCCTCAGAAAAGCCTCTGTCACCTCTTGTCTTGAGCCAAGTTTTGGGCACGACCAACAGGAGCTGGTCGGATGATCTCAGGGCTCTGCCCGGAGTACAGAGCTGCAGTAATTCCCTCAAATAGACTGGACCCATAGAGTGCAAACATTTGAAAACAATTAATGAGACAGGGAGCCAGTGCAGGTCACACAGCACAGGTGTGATCTGTTCATGAATTGCAATAGTCCAGGCGTGATGTTACAAAAGCATGGATAGCTCTTTCGAACTCCGCCTGTGGGAGCTAGGGCTTTACTTTAGTGAGGAGCCTCAACTGAAAGAAGCTGGACTTTATCACAGCGCTAATGTGCTTGTCCAGTTTAATCATGGAATCCACAGTCACCCCAAGGTTCCTCAATGCAGGGAGACAATAGGAGGACAGAGGACCAATCCCACTGTCCTGCCCAAGCAATGTGTTAGTTTGCCCAAACACCACCATCTCGTTTTTTTATGATTTAGGTTCAGGAAGTTTGTGCTCAACCAGGTCTGTACATCCCCGAGAGAGTCCTGCAGAGCTTTGATTGTGCTCTGGCTTTTAATTGCGGTCACTGGCAGATAAATTTGAATGTCATCTGCAAAAGAGTGAAAAGTGACATTGTGCTTTCTAAAAACATCACCCAGGGGAAGCACGTACAGAGCAAAGAGGGTCGGTGTTAATGTAGAACCCTGTCAAATCATTTCTCCATGGAGATATTTTTGCTTTGTTATAGCAAGAAACAGATCCAAGCATTTTTGAGCCATAAAACCACCTATAATTTAATCAATGTAAGGTAGAGCTAGTTAATGTCACATTGTGGAACATTCTAAGCAGAGCAATGACATATCCATAGAAGCAAGCAGATAGTGAACCCCTGACTAAAAAGTTACACAATGCACAACGTAATTTGCTATATCATGTAATAAAAATGGACCAAACTTACCTCTATATACATTTCTATACAGTGGAGCTATACATGCAAGAACCAGATGTGTAAGCAACCGGGGATGTACCGTAACCCGGCAACAGCACAGTCATACCACACAGTAACTGCACTATCTTTAACAAGCACATTCAAGGATCCTCATTACACTTGTACTACTTAGACAGTTGTAGTTAATTGCTTGTGAAAAGTGATATAAACTTGACGTAACAGGGGAGAGCGTCTTGGGTGTGATGGTGACAGCGGTGATTCAGAGTATAGATCCTGAGGAGGTGTCATTGACGTGCTGACAGCGAAATTTAATAAGTGCGTCAGAGGAGATAGAAACGTACTGAGAACTGGACTTATTTCAGGCTCACCTCTGTGCCCTGTGTGCTGGTCATGTTCCGTGTAATTCTCACATTGAATAGGTTCTGTGCTCTGTGTCGCTGGTGTTAAAACATAAATTACGTAATAGACAGCAAATTCATATGTAAAGTAAACACTACACTATCTAATTGTTTTTATATTTGCGCTGTTATTTGAATATTTTATGCCTTCACATTAGCATTATCAACATCTGTCTTTATCAACACACAAGTTTAGTTTCTATGGAAGTTTTCACCTCAAGTTTTTAACATGATTCTTCAAGGCACTAATAAAAGTAGTTATTAATTGTAGCGTAATTCAGGAAACACTGTGCAAACTCGGAGGATTAATAGTACAATTTGTATGTCCTGTATCATGATACAAGATGGTAGTTTTAGAAATACTAATATATTTATTCTAGGCTTTATGACAACATCTGTAGCTCCTCTTGAGTCAGTTGAGTGAGGTGATTAGAGTTGGGCAGATGTTCAGAGTACTGTTGTTTCAAATTATGCAGTATTTGAATAAAAGTACACAACCAGGCACACCATCTCATTCATCCCATCATCCCATTTTTACTACTTTCTACATTTTGTATATACAGATGACCAGTGTTGCCATAGTTACTTTCAAATAGTAATCTGACTACTGACTACTGATTACTTCTTTAAAAAGTAACTTAGTTAAATTACTGACTACTTGCTTTTAAAAGTAACTAATTTAGATTACAAGTTACTTTACTCGCTACTTTCAGCAGCGGCTGATCCCCCACCCCCTTCTTGAAGGCAGACAACACTTTGTCGCCAGCACAGAGTGTACAACAAACCTTTATGTTGCCATCCTTAGCTGAAAAAAATCAAAATAATGTTTGTATTTCCAGCTGTAAAAGGCATACCTCTCTCCCTCCATTGTTTAAACCTGACTCGAGGTGGAGCGGAGATGACGTAACATCATAGAAAACCTGTCACCAGAGACGATTTATACGATCTTTGGGGTTACATAACCCACGTCGCCAAACAATAAAAATAAATAAATAAATAACCCATGTTGCCCTGAAACGCAAAAATAGTAACGCACAGTAAGTAACTTATATCTGACTACTGGTTTGGAAATAGCACTGCGTTAGACTACTCATTACTGAAAAAACCAGTCGGACTACAGTAACGAGTTACTAAGTAGCACCTTAGTGGCATCACTGCAGACAACATCAAATATATAATATGTTGGATAATTCCATATGCTTTACTTCATATTTCTTTTTCTGTATGTATTCAAAATGTAGAAATGGTGCATCCAAACTTTTGACTGTGTACTAGTACATCTTTTATAATAAAGGCTTTAAAAATATAAAAGAACAAAAAAATCACTTACAAAAAAAGATAAGGTAATTTTCCTGCAGCTTACAGTCATTTCACATTTGTCTGATACCCGAAGCTCAAATTTCAGTAGGAGTGATATAACACTGTCTGAATATAATGATCAGAAATATACTGTGCTTTGTTAGCTGTGATGTCTGGTGCTGGTGAGTCCTGAGGTCGTACTATAGAACAGTGTCAGAATGATATTTTTGTCTAAGAAGTAAATAACCCAAAGTATCATTTACCTTTGTTAAAAGCCTGTCTGTCTGATGTATTATTATTATTATTATTTTTAAAAACATCTTTTGACATTTTTATTTTTATATTGCAGTCTGTTTTCTGTTGTTAACCATTAACATCCACTTTTACGTTTAGAGCTTTTATTTTGAAGGGTCTATTTCGGGTTAGTGTAAAAACATTTAATTACCTTAACATTGAAAACAGCAAAAGACGTTAAACGAAGCAAATGTATATATTTTCAGATACTTTCTATGCCTTTGTTTAGCTACCCCTGAAGGTATGTTGTTGATTTAAATATGTGTTTTGGATAAATTTGTGTCTCCAGCTGTTATCTTAGTTGATTTGTGTTGTCAAAGTGAATGTAAATGATAAGCTAAACTTAACCTTGAATTTTGTGTACTGTATGCGTATTTACACACTGTATTTTGTATTCTTTTTAGCTCTTACAATAGATTGGAGGATTTATTGCCATTATAATCTAAAAAACATCTTCATTCAGAGGGATATGCTACAAATTGTATTTAATATAATTATTCATAATGTAGTTTGTGGTTCTATAAAATGATGAATACATGAATAGGTACCAAAAAAGTAAAAAAAAAAAGTTTGCTATGTTTTCCTTAAGATCTGAAATTAATGCAGTATACCATTTGACAAAACTATGAGCATTCAGAAGAAACACAAAATGATCTATACTAAAATTATATTCATTTATGAGCGAGTAAAAGACACTAACCAGGGAGCAGCATAGTGGACACGACCTCAGCATCCTCCAGTATATCAATGACACAGCGCTGGAAGTCTTTACTGCTGTTGGACTGGAGGTAACTGCAAAACACAAAGAGACAAATGACACATTGAATTAGAAACATATACTCATACTGGATTGTAATCTTCAGTTTGGGTGTGAGAAAGATTCAATGTGAAGTATGGGAGAAAATATCAAAATATAATTAATAAATAAATCAATCAAGCTTTATTTCAGACTCCAGGGGATCCACAGAGAGCATTTAAAAAACACACAGAAGACAAACACGACAATAACAATATTCTCCAATAAAATAAGTAACACAATACACCTTTAACTCTGATTGTGCCTCAAATATAATGCACTCAGGGTTACCAAAACTCCAAATACATTTTCATGACTTTCCTAGCACATTTTAATTACAGTACATAATAAAGGTGTCTACAAATAGATTACCCTTTTTTCTTTTTACTAAATATGTAGTATAATTACACCCACAAGGTAAAAACACTAATCAAATGTATATCTGCATATTATATCCTGTTCACTTTGCATTGTGGTATACTGGTACTGAGGTATAAAAGTCAAATTAGATGGAGGACATGGAAGTATTTAGTACTGACATCACATTCTTCTCATACTTTACCCTCTTGCTTGAACTTACAGAGCTGAAAATTAGGAATGCCTGAGTAACAGCAAGACCCTAAACAATGTTATGGGGGTTTTGGAGGTCATCTCCCAAGAAATTTTTTAAGAAAGAGGTGTAATTTAGTTATCTAATATCTAATACAAATATTAACGAGGGAATATTTTACTTCTATGGGGTATTAATTGCTAACAGAACACATATTTAGATCCCCCATGTTACCTTTTATTGTTTTGAGGTGTTTGTTTTTGATGCTCTGAGTCTCCCCTCCCTTTACTCTCTGTGCTAAGTCACTCCCCCTGCATGTATCTCGGTAATCAAACTACTCCACATCACATTAGATTTGTCAAGGTGTTCTGTGCTGTTTTGTATCATGCTTTTTTTGTATATTTATGGAGATTTGTCGTGTGGGAGCATGGATGACGCAGGCTTGTGGGCTGAACATTGGACAAAATCTTACAGCTAACCGTAAGGAGAATTCCAACAGGGCCAGGGAGAGATCACTGAAATTACTGAAACATGCATGGATTACATCTAGTGACATCTTCAGGCATGTTTTTTGATGAGTGAACAAGGCTGTAACATGGTAAAGAGCTAAAAAAAAAAAAAAAGATTTTGCATAATACCCACTTGTAATCTTAATTCATACAGTTTTTATTAAAATTGTCGAAGCCAAATCAGTCCACAAAGAGAATTCATGAGCTTGTCATTTAGGGCCAATTTTCTGTGCGGGAAATCCACACGAGGCCTTCTTTCTAAATTAAATGATTATGTATTCCTTTCCTTTTGTTCAGAAATCACAGTGCTGATGTTATTGCTAGCCTGACATAATTATTTAATATTGCTGAGAGACTCATGGTAGAAACTAGGGCTGGGCCAATATGGATTTTTTTGAGCTGATACCGATATCTGATCTTTGACCTGCTGCTCTGAACACAGACTGTATAAAAAAGTGGACTAAGTAAGTTTGACTTCACCCATAGAGTTTGGCTCAAATGAAAGGAAAATAATTTTTTGACGGACAAAAGAGCGGAAAAAAACCCCCACCAGGATCATGTAGAGCGACTTAATACGAACATTTTAAGACCAAAATGACGATGGTCACAGCAGAGAGGGATGACAATATTCCAGTGTAAGCCAATGGGAGCCAGAGACAGAAGGAGCCGGAAGATCCACATGAGAACCTCCTATTTGGAAGCTAGCACGGTAGATATGTCCATTTAAATATACAACCTATGGCTGTGACTGATAAATATTTGCAAAATCCATAATGAGGCTCACAAATTTACATTTATTCACAAATTAACTTCTCACTTGTGTATACATAATAAAATGTATTTCACTGGGATATAAAATAATTTGTTACATGTTAATAATAATGCTAATCTCTTTCCATTTTGACTTATTAGTCTGTTCAAAAAGTGCAATCAGAGACTGGGGCAGTGGAAAAAATATTGGAATCCATATCGGCCAATACTGATACTTGAACTGATATTGCCCATCCCTAGTAGAACTGTTAGTAATTCGCAAATAATGCCCTGATGAAACCTTTATGCAATTCAAATTCACATTTTTAAAGCATCATAAGTGAAGATAACAGACAATGGTTCATTGTCATTGCTTTCATTTTTTTCAGTGTAACAAAGCAATGCATTTCGCACCTAGTTTACAATTATATAATGTATTGTAAAAATCAACATTAACTTTTCACATTACAATATCACATTATTGTTCCCATCAAACCTTCACCTGATGACCAGTCTAATTAAGATGTTACAGAAAATAATCTTTATAATTATCTTAAAGGAGTAATATGACATGGCAGATCTCCATCACCAATTTATCGCTCTAGTTTGGACCATCCTACACTTTGTCCCACATTTTGAATATGCCAGTTCCTAAATCTGTTTGTTTATTTCAATTAAGATTCAACTCAATTCAGGCAAAAAATATTGCCCGCTCTTGATTTTCAATTTTAATGTATATTTTTTTCTTTTCAAATACAAATGAACTACGGTAAGTATTGACTTCATGGACATAAACAATATAAACTAGTGTTGTCCCAATACTAAAATTTCAAACTTGATACTCAATACAAATTCCGATACCATGATGATAGACAATAGAATGTAATTTTCAACCTAAAATAGTACTTTCTTTTATGTGGTCTTACAGTAGTTCTGATACAGCTCAAAGTTATTCAGCAAAGGTTCATTTCTGTCCTATTTTCTAATCATGTTTATGCCAAAATCTCTAAGAAAACCTTCTTAAGAAATTTACAACACATTTACTTTACTTAACATATTATTTAATTTCACCTTCAATTTTACCTTCTTTTTGAATCTGAAATGATAAAGTATTCCCTGGTAACTTCTTGGGTCCCCATGCTGCAAAAAAGTTTGGTATTTCTTTCTTTTCTTTCTTTTTTTTCATCGCCCAGATTAGGTGGTGTCAGATAGCAGCAGACTGTTAGGCTCTGTGTCCTCTGTGATGAAAACGTTCCTCACCAGTGAAGACGAGCAGATGGCAACGTGCACATCACACTTTTACACACAAACACACACACACACACACAGGCATACACACTATACTGACCTCATCCAGGAGAGACGATCCTGCCAGAACTCATACATTATGTAACAGGACTTTCCAGGGAGCTTCTGAACGGACACGCTGATCGACAGGAGCAAAATAAAGAATAAAGAAAAAAATATATATATTAGCTATAGGAGAATCAAAGTTAATCGACTGCTGAGAGTAGAGAGGGGAATTAATATGTAGAACCATGTTTTAAGGACATCATGGAGGAATTTAAAGGTGCACTGTGTAACTTTTTGATTGGATATGCCACTGCTCTGCTAAGAATTCTCCACAGCTCTACCTTACATTTATTCTATTGCAGGTGGTTTTACTGCTCAAAAATACCTAGAAATACAGACATTCTGAGTAGGAGGGTGAGTGGGACTGCCTCTCAATGGATCTGACCTGTAACTTAAGTCTGGTTTGGTCTCCATGATGATAGAAAGTTTTAATGCTATACTGTGAAAAATTCCAGACAAAGCATTAACATCTCCATGGAGAAAAGCATCTGATGGACCCTACATCAGAAAAGTTACACAGTGAACCTTTAACTCTAACTATGTGCTGAAAATATCATGCGCTCAGGGTTCCCAAACTTCAAATCATTTTTCAGGACTTTTCCAGGTCATCGTCAATTTAATTATGTATCACTGCATTTACAAATACATTACCTTTTTTTTTTTTTTTTTTAAACTAAAGATGTAGTCCAATTACACTCAAAGGGCAAAAAAACACAAAAAAATTCCACTAATCAAATTAACGTATTTGCATATTATATACATGCTTAAACTTATAAAGCAGAAAATTAGGGATGCGTAGGAGTGACAGCAAGATCATGCTTACAGCGCATAATCCAAAAAGGTTAAGGGGTGTGGTGAGGTGTAATTTAATTTTTTTTGTATGTTTTGTTTTTGTATTTAAAGGTGCACTGTGTAAGGGGGCCCACTACAATTTTTCTCCATGGAACTTTTAATGCTTATAAACTGTCCACACTATGGCATTAAACTAATATGTCTAGCTTATGTTCAACTGCAAGTGTTATTGCTCTAAAGTATCGAAAAAAAACCCCAAAACAAACCAAAAAAAAAAACAAAACATCCATTCATACTGTGGGGCGAGGTCGTCTCTCCACAAATCATATTGTGGAGCATTCTGGGAATACATTTCCATGGAGACAAGCAGGTGACAGATCCTCCAACATACAAGTTACACAGTGCACCTTTAAAGCTTATTTTAGGCTCCATAATGAGATTGACAGTGATGGATAAAGAATTCAATTTTGTTACTTAAATAAAAGTAAAGATACAAAAAGGCAAAAAGTGACTCAAGTAAAAGTAAAAGTATCACATGAGAAAATCTACTCAAGAAAAAATATTAAAGTCACTGTTTGAAATGAGATTTGTAGAACAATTTAAGGATGAAATGTAGTGATTTTTATCTGTTTAATTTGGTTGATTTTAAGTGATTCAATTGATTTCTTATTTTTTTTAAGTCATTTTTGTGTATCTAGTTTGCTCAAAGTTGGGACGTTAACTGAAATTAAATGTGCTAAAAATAAGTCGTAGGCATTTCAACGGGTCTCACATGTAACAAAATGTACTTGTTACTTTTCTGTCCAGATCTGAAATGTAGTGGAGTAGAAAGTACAGATATATGCTCTCAAATGTAGTGGAGTAAAAGGAAAATATCCACTGTAAAATTTACTTAAATGAAGTACAGTACTTTGTTACCTTCTGCCGCTAGAGCCTTTTTCAGCAGTGAATTAGTCATATATTTACAGGAAACTGGATGCTCTGATCAGTAAATTATCAGCATTATAATTAGCTCTTATGGATGTTGAAGAAGTTGTTGAAACTTAAACAGATAGTTCAGACAGTTCAGCTCTGAATATTACGACTTGAGGCCATTAACTAATACATTGCTCACAGTTCACAGTTACATAAAGCTGCTAAGACATCACAGCGCTGACAAACTTGTGTTTTAAAGTCATTCTGAGTCATTCTCGCTGTGCACCAAAGGGGGCGTCACTTAATAATCACATCGCAGTTGCCACGGGAACTGATATTTGTGACGTCGTGTTTCCGTTACACAGGGCTAATGAGCAAGGCACACTCACTGCAGGTTGTCGGTCTGAGCGGCTGTGGCTCCGAGGTAGCTCTTCAAAACCATCTGAAATTTGTCCACATCGGCTTCAATTACGGACATCTGCCTCTGAACCAGCAGGATGTTCTGTGGGCAAGAGAAAGGCAATTTAGATCAAACCTGATTATTTTGGTGGAGAAGGGAGGGAGTGTAACTAGGTAGCTTGTTATATTTATAAATGAGCTGCAATTTCTTGTGTCTTTTTCTCATGTACTGTCAAAGAGTAATGAAAATGTACCCAAGTAAAGGTAGAAACGTGGCTCCAAAGGTACCAATTAAAAGCAGGTCAAGTACTTTACGGTGCACTATGTAACTTTTCTATCTATATCATAGCTTTACATTTATATTTATTACAGCTGTTTGAATTGCTTAAAAATATCTGCATGCAGTCTCGTCTCCACAGATCTGACTTGCAATTTGGCTTGCTTGTGATCCCTGCTTGTATACAAAGAGGTAGATAATGTCATACTGTGGGAATAAGGCAAGGCAAGGCAAGTTTATTTGTATAGCACAATTCGTACACAAAGTAATTCAAAGTGCTTTACAGAAATACATTAAAATCATAATAAAAACAAATCAAAACATAAATAATTATGAAGATTAAAATTAAAAAAGAGAGACATAAATTGGAGAGAAGAGTGCGGAATGAAAACCTTTCAGTTATATGCACAGTTAAACAGAAATGTTTTGAGCCTGGATTTAAACAGCGTCACAGAAGAGTCTGTCTCACATGTTCAGGAAGACTGTTCCAGGTTTTAGCTGCATGAACCTGAAACGCTGACTCCCCTTGTTTAGTTCTGACTCTGGGTACCAGCAGGAGGCCGGTCCCTGAGGTCCTCAGAGTGCGAGATGGTTCATATGACACTAACATGTCACAGATGTACTTTGGTGCTCGGCCATGGAGAGACTTGTACACAAGTAGAGCTGCTTTAAAGTCTATTCTCTGAGGCACAGGAAGCCAGTGCAGAGACCTGAGCACAGGACTTATGTGCTCGTACTTCCTAGTTCGAGTAAGGACCCGAGCTGCAGCGTTCTGGATGTTCTGCAGCTGTCTCACAGCTCGTTTGGAGAGACCAGTGAGCAGAACATTACAGTAGTCTAACCTACTGGAGACAAACGCATGGATAAGTTTCTCCAAGTCTGCTTTAGACAGTAAACCTTTGATTTTTGCTATGTTTTTTAGATGGTAAAAGGCTGCAGATGTTATTGATTTTATGTGACTGTTAAAGTTCAAGTCTGAGTCCATTATTACCCCTAGATTTCTTGCCTGATTTGAAGGTTTTAGAGAGAGAGACTCTAGGTGACTGCTGACACTGTCCCTTTGTTTCTGTGGACCAAACACTATGACTTCAGTCTTGTCAGAGTTTAGCTGGAGAAAGTTGTTTTGCATCCACACACTGATCTGTTGGATGCAGTGACCGAGTGAGTCCACTGTCCATAGTCTCCTGCTGCCAGAGAGACGTAGATCTGAGTGTCATCTGCATAATTGTGGTACGACACGTTATTGCTGCTTATTAACTGGCCTAATGGCAGCATGTAGAGATGAACAACAGGGGGCCCAGGATTGACCCCTGAGGCACCCCACAGGTCAGGGCCATGTCATCTGAGACACAGTTTCCAATTTCAACAAAATACTTCCTGTCTTCTAGATAGGACTTGAACCAGTTTAGTACAGTACCAGAGATGCCCACCCAGTCCTCTAGTCTCTGTAAGAGGATCCCATGATCGACAGTGTCAAAAGCAGCACTCAGATCTAACAGGATCAAGACTGAGACTTTGCCTGCATCAGTGTTCAGGCGGATGTCATTTGTCACCTTGATAAGAGCAGTCTCAGTGCTGTGGAGGCTCTAAAACCTGACTGGAAAACATCAAAGGAGTTGTTCATTTGGAGAAAGTTCGTAAGCTGTTGGTAAACAGCTTTTTCAAGGACTTTGCCAAAAAACGGCAGATTTGAGATGGGTCGGAAATTGTTCAGTACTGTGGCATCAAGACTGCTCTTCTTTAGGAGAGGCTTAATGACCGCAGTTTTCAATGCGTTTGGGAATGTTCCAGATTGAAGTGACATGTTAACTATGTGAATAACATAACATTTTCATCTAGAGAAAAGTTAAATAGTGCACTGTTAAGTATAATAATAAAGTAAACATGTAAAATACTAGTACCAGTTACTAGTTGCACAGTTTTGTAACATTTTAGATATATTCGAGATATCAGAAGCTTTAAGGCCATATAACTCCTTATAACTCCAATCCCTATACCGGTTACTTGCATTTCAGAATTGATTTTAAATTCTTGTATTGGTTTTTAAAAGTCTAGCTGGCTCCACAGTCGTCTCAGAAACTAAAAGAAATCCTTTTCTTTCAATGGCTGCTCCAAGACTCTGGAAATAGCTCCCACTGAACATCAGACAGTCTGACTCCCTTCCTGTTTTTAAATGTCTTCTTAAAACATATTTTCTTTCTTTGGCTTTTAACTCAGTTTGAAGTTTTTTTTTTTTTTTCATTACTGCTGTCTCGTCTAATGTTCTAAAATGCTCTGTAGCTCCATTGAATTTGTGTAAATTGGTCATCTGTGTTGTTTTATACAGTTTTTATTATGCTATGTTCTGATCTATATTATGTTATGTTGTTTTCTCATCAAAAACGGTTGTGTTTTGTTTAATTCACACATGTTTAACCTGCATATTTAGTTCTTCTCTCAAACAGAAAACGTACTATTCCACCTTCTGATGTCATGTGGTAATACAGAAAGTTCTCCCCTGAGCTTTTAAATGCCACACACTTTCACTAGAATCATCTGAATAATTTTAGCCCTGGGATCTCCAGTCTCTACTGAACTAAAGATTAAAGGTAGCTGTTAACTTGAAAACTACCACTTCATAACATCACAAATTGGAACAGAGCATTTTGATCTTTGGAGGAGTACACAGATCAGTAATAAAAAGGTTAATTAATAAAACAAAACACAACTCCAGGTATGTTTTTGATGAGGTTACAGCATTCTAATATGGCATAAAGCTCACAAGAGTCAATTTTGCGTAATATAGGACCTGTAAAGCGCTCTACAGATGAAGTTGGATTGGATCAGTTTATACAAAACAGTGTAAATATGATTTAAGTTGTTTTAAACCACAATCAGCACATTCTCTGAGCTTTAGCCAATCAGAGCAGGTGTTGAAGTGTTATGTGTGTTTGTGGGTATACAGGGAGCAGAGACAGCACTGAAACAGGTTGTGGTGGATTAGGACGACTGGGACCTGTACTGTTCTCACTCGATTTTAAATGAAGCTTATTACAATTACATAGCAGGAAATATAGTCAAGTAAAAGTACATGTTTAAAGGTGTATTGTGTAACTTTTCTGGTGGAGGGTCTATCAAATACTTTTCTTAATGGTGATGTTATTGCTTTATCTGGATTGTTTATGGCATTAAACCTTTCTATCTTTATTGAGACCAAACCAGACCATGTTACAGGTCAGATCTGTGGAAAGGCAAACCTGCTCACAATCAGAATGCCTGTCTTTCTATGTATTTTTGAGCGGTAAAACCACCTATAATTTTATAAATGTAAGATAGAACTGTTTAATGTCATATTGTGGAACATTCTAAGCAGAGCAACGATGTATCACAAGAAAGTAATGGACCCCCATGAAATGTTACACAGTGCATCTTTAAAAATATACTAAAAAAGTAGAAGAACTTCAAAAATGTACTCAGTTATAGTAAATTGAGGGATTGGAAACAGTTCCTTTCCACTTTTGTCTGTCAAAATGTTTCGTGTTTAGTTCTGAAGTGAACAGCTGCATGAGATAAGATTCAAATGAAATGGACCAACCACAGAGAAAATAACATGATGAAATGAAAAATCTGGGTTGCCATGATATTAATAATTAAGTTTGCTTTATTGGGCAAAACCAAATTAGAAATTAGAAATTAGAAAATGCTATTTTTTTATAGTGGAATTTCCACTTTTATCAAATGAGTAAAATACAAAAATGCAAATTAATGAATGAATGCATGAATACAAACACCAGTATCTCTACAGCTGTAACCATAAGTGTGAGTCTGTTGCATAATATAATTTTTTTCTGTTATGACTAAAATATTTACTTCTATTTTTACACATTTTATAAAATAATTAGTATTTGCACAATGCTAAAACTGGACAGTGTTCCTTTAAAATACGTAATTACTACTGAGATCGGAAAAATAGCCCTATTCTCAAACAATAAAAACATTATAATTGAGTTTTGACAGCATCAGTAATAAGGCCGAGCAGGTAGTTCAGCTCCACAACACACAGAGACTGTATTCTCTGGTCTGTGGCTCCACTTGAGGAGGGAGAGCAGTAAATTAGCTGTCTGCACATTCACAACATTCACACAAAGGTGGAGCGGGAGAAAAACAGCACCAGGAGAGCTCAACTGGACTCTACAATGGCTGTATGGATAATTAGGATAGATGGGCTTCTCCTAGTATTTCATTGGGAAAACAATAACGTCTGCTTATTTTAACGGATTTGGTTATTAACGCACAATGTAATGCTCTATTCTAACTTTAAAGAAAAATAAACAACAAGTAAGCAACTATAGACTGGAATTATAATGATTCAAGCTATTAAATAATGTGCAGTATAAGAAAAATCGTGTTTGCTTGTGCCTATGTGAAGAAGGAATTCCCAGTAGACATGTATCATTATATAAGCGCTACACTGTACACAACACTGTACACTACACTGTAAACTACACTGTACACTACACTGTAAACTACACTGTACACTACACTGTACACTACTCTGTACACCAGTGTTTCCCAAATGTTTTTTCTGGGGACCCATATTTTAAATGTCACAAACCATCGCGACCCAAGTCAATAGACATTATTCGTAAATCACAAAATAAAGGTGGATTTGAGCATTATTCAACATTAATGAGGATATTTTATTGTTGATCGTATCTCTCTGAACAATTAGTATTACTTAAGTTTTAAACAATGAAAAACTGTCATTGAACCAGCAATAAAAGGATCCATAAGTCGCCTATTTGGACATTAAATGTAGCCCGTTTCTTTTTCTCTTCAACATTCAAATTGAACCAGCAATACTGGAACAAAATAGTCAATAAAATAATAACAAAAAGATGAGAAATTATGCAAAACATGTCTTAACATTTCATAATGTCTAATGAGATAGGTGGGCCTGTCTGTGTTTTTGTAGCATGTTCTAGTCCAGGGTGCAGGAGGAGAGCGCAGCAGCAGATCAGGCGCAGCATTCAGTCTGTTTCTGTGCTTTGTCTTAATTTTGGTGAACACAGAAAATCCCAATTCACACATATATGTAGTAGTGTAAGGAATAAGCATAGAAATACTGGCACTACTGAGGACAGGATATTCTGACCATATGCTTATCCAGATTGACGAGAAGGTCACAGATCCATGTAGACAACTGTATATTGCAGACCTACACACAGATCATGACATGGCAACCCCAAAAAAATCTCTTGTGATCCACCTGAGGGTCCTGACCCAGTCTTTGGGAAACAATGCTGTACACAACACTGTCATACCCCTCTGACCACCCATCACTCATTCACACAGCACATTAATAAAAGGGCAAGGAGGATGTCTTAAGTTCAGACAAGCTTCCTGTTTCAAATAGAACAAAGTAAATCTAGACAGATCACAGTCTACTCAAGCTCTAGACATGTGGCTTTTCAATATCGGCAGAACAATCGGGGATATAAATGAAGGTAAAACCAAAATGAACTAGAAGACAAATCAATACCAGTTGGTAAATTAACACAAACTAAATTTTCTGTTATTCATTGGTTTAGCTTTCTCCCTTTTAATAAAATAACGGTAAAAGCCCCAGTGCTTACTGTCTGAATTTTTCACATCTTTCAAAATGTCAGCCTTGGGAGAATAGCAACAAATTTTTAACTGTCACAGAAATGTGTCATAAAATTCCAGATTTTTTAGCTCTAATAGAGATCCCTACAGTCACGCCACCATGAAACCTGATACACTGACAGAGGGTTAGCCCATAGATCATAGAGGGACACAGCAGCATGTCACACGTCGGACTTATATGTCATATAACTGTTGAAATACTATGTGTAACTCAAGGTTAAACTCCAGGTGAAATGTTCGTATCATTATCCACTCACAGACTTGTATGTGCTGGCCAGTGTGTCTTCGTTGAGAGGCTCCAACTTGGGACCCTGCAACAAATGAGAATAAAAATGTCAATTAGAATATTATAAAAACAGATTTCATTTAAAAGGAAATCATTTATTATTTTTATGTCTAAATGCACTGCGATGTCCCAATGTCAAATCAGATGACCAAAACTACAGCCAAACCCTAACTGTACATAACCACTGTTGAGTTTTAGAGTAAATAAAAACACGAGAATCTCTACAACAACTGTAACCATATATGGACATGTGAGAATCTATTGCCTATTATTATTTTTATGCAAAAACTCTACATATTTAAAATCTACTAAACTATTAACTAAAGAAATTACCTATGAAACATTCAAATTATCAAAAAAAAAAAAACCAAAAAAAACCCTGAATAATCTTAATTATTGATAACAAAATATTGTTATTTGAAACGCCAGAAACTGCTAATGTCTTTGGGTATGTCAAAACTGGTAAAAGTGAATACATAAAAAAGGTCCAGTATCACTTGTACGAAAATGACCTGAAGTATTCTCCATTTCTTGTATTTGAAATCCAGAGAAGAGAGGCTAAGACTGGTGTGGATGGATGTATTAAAGCACATGCCCCACGTCCTGGAGGTTATGAAATTTCTTTGATATTACATTTTTGAGTCCCGCTGGGTGAGGCAAAGCAGAGGAATGAAGAGTGGAAAATGCTCTGGGAGAGGCTGACAATGAAGGAGAGGAGAAAGGACACAATAAAAGAGAAAAAATAAGTTAATAAAAATAATAATAAAAAGCATTGGTGGTTGTAACAAGGCAGAAACACACGGAAAAGACAGGCATGGAGACTGGGTTGTACATGTGACACTGTACTGTGTGGTCAGAGGAATGTTAGCGCACTATTTTTTGTCATAAGATGTTAAAGTGACTCCATTGCCTTGGCTCCTGGGGCTGAATCCTGCTACTACAAAGCCCAGCGCAATAAAAGTGAAGCTACCTATACTGAGAATGTGCAAAAGTATGATGTTAAGCAGAGACGGAAGAAGTACTTGAAAGCTCAATACTCATATAGTTTTAGAACAGTAGTACTCAAGTAGCTTAAAATACATAAGAAAAATAGAGAAGCAAGCAAGCTGAGATCCTTTTTAAAGTATATTTGCAATACCATTTAACATCCAAAATATATACTGTATTTTTCGGACTATAAGTCACACTTTTTTTCATGGTTTGAGTGGTCCTGCAACTTATACTCTGGTGCGACTTATATGCTAAAATTTTCACACTGACAGTCATGAGAGGACGCTCTAGGCTTGTGTACTCTTGTACCATTGTCACTTCACTCTACTGCACATGTTGGCTGCAGAAGAAAGACAAAGAGCCACTGTCCTGTCTGGTATCATGTGAGTCAATTGCACCACTACTTCTGTATCACTGACAACTTTAAATTTAAACAAACATAAAGACAACAAAAAACATCCTGTCGGGATTCAGAAAAGCTGGAATAATTCTAACTGGAACTGATGCTGAGTCTGACCACCGCTACGCAGAAGAGGAAGCGGCGCTCCTTTAACCTCTGGAGGTGGCGGAGTTGCTCAAAAGTGACACCAAGGATGAAGAATTCAATGGACTTAGTGATCTGGAGTGAGATGGAGAGTTTGGTAAACTTGTTCTGTTCTGTTGTTTGTGCTATAGTTATCTGAAGAACTGTTCATATGTGACGTTAACAGCCTTTTGTTCTCTGTTCTATTGTTATTACTATAATTCGCCTTTCAAGATGAAATGTCGGTTCCTGGTCTCTGATTTTCTAAAATAAATTTCCCCCAAAAAGTGCGACTGATACATGTTTTTTTCTTCTTCATTAAGCATTTTTTGGTTGGTGCGACTTATACTCCAGAGCAACTTGTCATCCAAAAAATACGGTAATTTTAAATTATTTTTTGACAAAGGTAAACACACATAGGCAGAAGTTTGAATGAAAGACATTTAAAACAATTCATAAACACATGTTCACAGATATGAGGTAGCTAGCTGTCCACAGATTTTAAGTACGCTAGTTTTTAGTGATAAAAACTGTAATGCTGATTGGACATGATGAATAAGTTGTTTATGTTATAATTTGGCATTTTGTTTCTCAAGACAATGATCCAATCAAAAAGCAAAATGAGCCTCCCACGAGTCTCTTGGCTGCCAGTTTCAATGCAGAAATCCAAGTGGTTTAAATTTAAAATGCCTCTCTCTGATCTGAATCCTCACAAACTAAAACCCAAGCACCTGCAGCCAGTCATGAAGCAGTGCTAGTGCTAGTGCAGCCTCTGCAGCTCAGTGAGTGAATTCTGGAGGTTCCGAGCTTTCATATAAGGCCTGTCCTATATACAGAGAATGAGAAAAGCATGTATGCCTCCTCTATTTGCAGGTGAAGGCAAACCAAGTTTAGTTGTGAAGAGTGTGGGCTACATACTGTACCTTAACAAAGAATGACAGACTGTGTTCATCAGTTGCCATGGTGACACAATGCACACATTAGTAATAACTACCAAAAAAGTCTTTAGATTGTCTGAAATATAAGACAAATTCTCAAGAGTCTGTTGTAATTCCATCTAGGTCAACTCTTTCAGGTCAGATTGTGGTAAAATAAAGCTCTTAAGTCTAATTTGAGTAACAGATCTTAGGCCGGTCTAGACTCACCTGACACTCGAGCTTGTCCAGGAGCTGCTGGAGCTTGTTGATCTGGGAGCACCAGTTCTCCTCGTGGCCCAGACTCACACCTGCAATAATTCAACAGACACATGGGACGTACTGTACTGCTGTACATGAAACACCCAGCTCTCTGTCCTCTATCTCGCATCAAACCGAATCATACATGACAAAGAAACATGTACACTGTAGAAGAATATACTGAAAGAATCTACAATGTTATGCCCACTTTCCATATCCTCAGCTTTGAAAATAAGGCTTATATAGAGATGATAAATTATTTAAATTCTAAATAAATAATCAAATAATTGTATTATCTAAAGCTTAGCCAAGTTATAACATGGAATATAGTGTCCACAAAACAGTCACGATGCATGCTTTGTCTCGAAAGTTTCACAGTATGGTATTAAAACTTTCTATCTTCATGGAGACCAAACCAGACTAAGTTACAGGTCAGATCTGTGGAGAGACAATCCCACTCACAATTTCTAGGTATTTTAAGATATAACACCACCTGTAATTTAATAAATGTGAGGTAAAGCTGGATTTAATGTCATACTGTGAAACATTTCTAGCCTGATTCATCAGCCAGTTTCACTTCGTGGAAACCGTCTGACCTTGCAGCATTAGAATTCGTTTGCACTACAGTAGGTGGGTACATTTTTTTATTTAACCAATCGCTACTACACAAGACAACACAAGTATTTGCCAGCTTCACAGATTCGCTGATTGGCCTGTGTGCGGTTTACAACTTCCGTGGATCTTGCAAAGCGTCTATTGTATTCCAATTCTTGACCTAGTCGCTGGAGAGAAATGCCAGCCTGGCTAAAACATTTCAGAAAGCATAGCGACAGATCTAAGCAGGTGATGGACTCCAATAAAAAAGTTACAAAGTGCAATTTTAAACTGTTTGCACAGAAATAAAAATAGTGGTATAGATAATTAGTTTAAAATTTAAAATCAATCTCAAAACATTTTTACAATTTTTCGGTACTTTGATTCAACTAGTGTTTCTAAAAGTGTTTAAGAAAAAAATATCTGCATACTGTAAGCAAGGAAAAGTAATAATAACTGTATGCAACGCAAAATTTGTACATATAGTAATTTGTGTATTAAAATTATATTTAAATGCTGAAAAACTACTAGTCTGACCAGTTCTATACAAAAGACAACTGTCCATTTTCCCACCACTCATAGACCTCAAGGCTACCCACAGAAGCACACCATAGCAACAGTGACTACTGCAGCGAAGTTTTGCCTTGACCTGTTGTAACAATATCCTCTTTAATGTCAGTACTTAAAGACTGTGAAACTTTTTAGCTTTAGAATAACTTTACATTCATTTCCACTTATTTCTTCTGTCAAGTAACAAAAGAATGCCTTATGAAAAGCCTATACAATGAGAGGTGTTGACATTTAATACAAAACCACGCTTTATCAATCTGGCTTTGATTGCGACTCGGAAATCATGGAGCGGTGATGAATTCACTTTGTACAGTCAAATGCCTCTTGAATAATGATGAGTAATAGAAGAAGCTTTCCTGGCCAAAACCACAAGCTTTTCCAATGGTTGTTGTTATGGTCTGGAACTGTACATGCTGTGCCCCTGATTTCTGATGGGCATGACTGACGAGTAGATTAACCAATCCTCAAAATGCTCTGTTCCACCTTGTGATGTCATCTAGTGGTAGTATTCAAGTAAAAAGCTCATTTACTTCAGTAGAGATCAGTATTTCACTGCCAAAATCATCCATCTGATTCTTATAAAAGTGTACGGCAATTACAAATAGCACAGCACTGTGTTTTCTTTTTCTCTGAAAACATTTAATTTTTTGTTGCATACAAAGAGATTTGAGCTGTAGGTGGTTGAACAAACTATCTAAAAAAATGATTTGTACTTTTTTTAAAAATGTGAAAAATTAAGGTAGTTCATTTCAAACTGTTTGCAGTGCTCCAAAATTATTCCTCACTGACCTTATAATTCACTGCAATGCCTTAATCAGCACTACCCCCACTATCAGAGACTAGGGCTGGGTATCATTAAGAAGTTGCAGATACGATACATACCTCGATACATAGGCCACAATACGATACATATCTCGATGCAGAGCACTTTCAATTCAACACGATATATTTCAGACGATTCGATACAGTTCAATAAAAAATAAAGGCTAAATCATGTCTGTGATACTAAAAGTCTTTGTTAAACCACTCCTTGTGCAAAGTTCATATGTAACACAAACATTTTAATCATCAAAACAGTGAATATGTCAAATGTGTTGACATATTCAATTTCCTTCATATAAACCAGGGGTCTCCAACATTTTTTTTTCTTGCAGTGAGCTACCTTTACTAAAAGAAAATGCCAGAGAGCTACTGTTTTCAGCAATTGTAATTTCAGCAGTCGTAAAGAAACTGAGTAAATATAAGAGCCACGGCGAGTCTTAGATGGGGAACAGTCAGATGCTTATAAAACATAAACCATTATCCATTTACTGGTGCACTAAGTTAGGCATCAAAATGATACATTTACAAGGGTAATTAATCAAAATGTACTTATTATGCACAGTACGTATAATTCAAAAATCCCTTGGTGAGCTACTTGGAAGGGGATGGAGAGCTACTGGTAGCTCCCAAGCTACAGGTTGGAGACCCCTGATCTAAACAAGTAATAAAACTGTAGCACTGTAACAAAATAATTTAGTAAAATATACCAAAAAATACTCCTGGTGATATATCAATACAGCAGCCCATGATATTGATACTATATCATCACATTAAATTATATTTCGATATTTTTGCACACCCCTATTAGAGACCAGAGCACAGTTTTTGCTGTGACGGTAAAGCTAACAACAACTAGCATGTCAACACACACTTCCTGATTATCAGCATTAGAATACATGCATCACGAATTTTGGACTTCTGGTCATTGCACAATGCATTCCATTGGGAAGGGAAACAGTGTGAACGGAGGTTTGCAGTCACACAGATCTGATTCCCTTTTGCAGTTATGGAGTTCAGCCCATTTCTCAAGCTGTTTTCCGGTGTTAGGACATACAACAACCACACAATTACAATGTCCGAATCCAAAAACTAAAATATGACAATATCAGTACCAGAAACAAAAGTGATATGGTTCAAAAGACTAGAAAAGACTGGCTTTGACAACAGATGCATCCCACTGAGAAAACAAACATGACGGTTTGATGCTCACTTTTTCAGAAAATCCTTCCCAGTATGCATTGAGCAATGACTGGAAGTCTGAAATTCATGATGCATGTATTAGATGCAGCCAGAAGATATACAATATATCTGTACAGAGTCAAGAACTATTTAGCTCAGATACATGGGAAATGGTCAATGGTCACATTTTTATATAGGACTTCTCACTTTCAAGTCACTCAAAGCGCTTTACATTAAGGAACCACTCTCCCATTCACACATACATACCCCAGTCTATAAAGATACTAGGGGCAAGGTGACCACTCAACCAACAGTTATGTCGAGAGTGGGATTTGAACCGCTAACCCTCAGATCGATAGACAAACAGGCAACCTTCTTTGCTCGGAGTTGTTTACAGTATATGACAGTGTATTCCAGACTCCACGCCATTTCAGCAGAAGCTAGAAGAGACGGAGCGGCCAAAGAACCAGCAGTGCAGACTAATAAATATGTGTTTACCATTGGTCAGGACAGAGCGGGGGTCAGACGGGGACAGGCATAGATTGTTATGGATCTTCTGACCGCAGCGTCTGGTGTTTCTCGGTGCCGTTGTCAGGTCAGTGGTCTTTGCTTCTCTTCTGGCAGGGAAGAAAATGGACAAGAACGCTGTCAGGGAATAAAATAGCAACAAGAGAAGAGGATATGACAGGCAGAGTTATCCACGTGGGAATCCGATCCAGATCTGAATACGTAAGAGGGTGTATAGAAACATTATAGAATTGAGGTATACGGAGCAGTAGAATACTAAATTGAGGCGTGACGCATTAATAATTGAATTGGATCAGAATGAGATATAGGTTAATGCTTCAGAGTGGAGAGGTAGAATATCGCACTCAACAATTCAAGTGATGCAGTGAGAAGAGTGAAGTAAAAATATGCAGTCCTGTTTGTCAAAGGAGAGATGCATCGATGCACCGTTTTACTCTGTTCTGATACTGATGTAGATACAGTGGCTGTAAGTATTTGCTCGATATTAACCAATACTAGGACAGAGACTGCAGATGTAATTCACTTTTTTTAAACACAAATAGCAGAGCACTGGTCCCCAGCCTTGTTTGCGCCACGGACTGGTTTTATATCAGACAATATTTCGTGAACCATGTTTATTCCTGGTTAAATCCTGTTTTAGACCTGGTTTAGACCTGATTTAGAACTGGTTTAGTCCTGGTTTTAGTTCTGGTTTAGTCCTAGTTTTAGTTCTGGTTTAGTACTGGTTTTAGTTTTGGTTTAGTTCTGGTTTCGTCTCGTTTTAGTTCTGGTTTAGTCCTGGCTTTAGTTCTGGTTTTAGTTCTGGTTTTAGTTCTGATTTAGTCCTGTTTTAGTTCCGGTTTAGTTCTGGTTTAGTCCTGGTTTTAGTTCTGGTTTAGGTTCTGATTTAGTCCTGGTTTTAGTTCTGGTTTAGTCCTGGATTTAGACCTGGTTTAGTCCTGGTTTTAGTTCTGGTTTAGTCCTAGTTTTAGTTCTGGTTTATCCTGTTTTAGTTCTGATTTAGTTCTAGTTTAGTCCTGGTTTTAGTTCTAGTTTAGTCCTGGTTTTAGTTCTGGTTTAGTCCTGGTTTTAGTTTCCTGTTTAGTTTTAGTTCTGGTTTAGTCCTGGTTTTAGTTCTGGTTTAGTCCTGGTTTTAGTGGTTTAGTCTGGTTTAGTCCTGGTTTTAGTTCTGGTTTAGTCCTGGTTTTAGTTTAGTCTGGTTTAGTTCTGGTTTAGTCCTGGTTTTAGTTCTGGTTTAGTCTGTTTTAGTTCTGGTTTTAGTTCTGGTTTAGTCCTGTTTAGTTCTGGTTTAGTTCTGGTTTTCCTGGTTTTAGTTCTGTTTTAGTCCTGGTTTTAGTTCTGGTTTAGTCCTGGTTTTAGTTCTGGTTTAGTTTTGGTTTCATCCTGGTTTTAGTTCTGGTTTAGTCCTGGTTTTAGTTCTGGTTTAGTTCCTGGTTTTTTAGTTTAGTCCTGGTTTTAGTTCTGGTTTAGTTCTGGTTTCATCTGGTTTTAGTTCTGGTTAGTCCTGTTTTAGTTCTGGTTTAGTTCTGGTTTTCCTGGTTTTAGTTCTGGTTTAGTTCTGTTTTAGTTTCTGGTTTTAGTTCTGGTTTTCCTGGTTTTAGTTCTGGTTTAGTCTGGTTTAGTCCTGGTTTTAGTTTCTGGTTTTAGTCCTGGTTTTTAGTTCTGGTTTTAGTTCTGGTTTCATCTGGTTTTAGTTCTGGTTTAGTTCTGGTCCTGGTTTTAGTTCTGGTTTAGTCTTTTAGTCTGGGTTCTGGTTCAGAGGCGCGGGAAACACAGGAGGCCCATGGAAGGGGGTATTTGCGCTTTCGCGGCCCGGTACCAAACGACCCATGGCCCGGTACTGGTCCATGTCCCGGGTGTTGGTGACCCCTGAACTAGAGAACAGCTTTGTAAAAATATGACTTTAATATTATGAGACATTTTGGATCAACGCTGGTCCGTAAATTACTTTATTACACCACTTCATGAACCAAAATGGGAACCAATATCTTGAAAGCTGATATCCAATCCTCCAAAATGTTTAATATTGGTGCTGATATGTGATACCAGTATTGATGCATCCCTAGTCAGAAGTATAGAAAATCAGACACTAATCAATACTAAAACTAATATCGCAATACATTTAGCCACATATCAAGATGCAGAATATACTTTGACTCAAATGCCACAATTTTGTACTTATTATTAATCACAAATTACAAATATGCTTATGTAATATTCATTGCTTGAATTAAAGAAAATGTATGCAATATTTTGATTTTAAAGTCCATAAACAGGACCTGTAATGCTTTTTTAAAAACTGTACGATCACAGGCTACATTCAGTTCCTTTAAATCGATGTACACACATTTCTTCTTTTTTTAATTAAGCCAATCTATTCCATTACATGACCTCTTTATAAAATGCTTAGACATTTAGTTTGAAAGGCATCCAATATACTGTGTACATATCTGCAGTATATGTACGGATTGCTATAGCTCGCTCCATCCTTGAATAACAGTAATAGAAATTGCGCTTTGAAGTAAACGCAAAGAGTCAAGGGAACTATGCCAAGGGAAAAGTGTGTCCTTCAGTCCAAAGCCGACTAGTATATTACATGTTGACTTTCTTTAGGTCTGTCACAATAATTACTATATTGACTTACTGTTCAGTATATGAAAGATGGAATGATCATTTCTGGGGGTCAATAATTATTATGAGTTCTTTTTCTATGTACTAATCATACATTTTTAAAAAAATATGTTTCTGTATTATAAGAAATGAACTGTAGAAGGTTGAATTATAAACTTATAGACACAAGTTAATGATTTAAAGGACCCAGATTAGATTTTTATGTTTTCTGATCTATGTTATAATGTTGTTTCCTCATCAAAAACAGACAGAGGAGTTGTGTTTTGTTTCATTCACATGTTCAACACATAAACCCTGTATATTTAGTTCTTCTTTCAAGTAGAAAACATACTGCTCCACCTTGTGATGCCATGTGATAAAACAAGAAGTGCTTCATACACCTTCACTAGAATCATTTGGAGGATTTCAGATTGGAATTGCCAATCTCTACTGAACTAAGGGCAAAAGGTAGTTACTGACTTGAAAACTACCACTACATGACATCATAAGGTGGAACAGTCTGTTGAGGTTTAGAGATGTAGACAGACTAATAAACCAGGATTACTCAAACACGTGTGAATAAAACAAAACACAACTCCAGGCATGTTTTCGAGGATGATTTAAAGCTCACAAGAATCCATTTTCTGTAATATAGGACCCTTAACTGTTGTATTCTGGCATTTATTTATCGCAGCTCATGTTTTTATTTGTTTTACGAATATTGTAAATTTAGAATATTTTTGGATCTGTGTACAATCCCTCAGTCGTCCAGTAGAATCCATGGCAAAGGAGAGATTTGATTTGTCAACTGGACAAAAGTTTATTTGGTTGAATACGTTTTGTCACTCTTATTCGTAATGTATTCAACCAAGCAAACTTTAGTCCAGTTCACAAATTCAATTTCTCCTTTGCACTACTTTCTCGAGGATAATTCTGCTTTAGAGTTTGCCTTTAGCTTCCAATATAATTTCGTTTATCGTCTATATTTTCTTCAGCCATATATCGCACTTCAAAATCTGTTGTGACAGGGCTAGTTTTTTCTCCATCTCTTTTATATTGTGCCTTTGAGCATGAGCGTTGTCATATGTGTGCTGCGTCACACTGGCAGCACAGGGGGAGAGAGATGCTAGGAGCTACTCATGCTGAGAACAGCCTGCAGCCCCAAAGGCCAAAGGAAAAGCTCAAATACAATCTAGGCAAGGCAGGCAGGGAGATAAAGAAATAAATGTTTGTTCAATATGACTTTAGCCCCAGCAGCACTCACAAAGTCTGTGTATTAGTTTTGTCATGATACTGACATTTCAAGCTCGATTTTGTTACTCAGGAAAAATACTCAATACTGATGTCAATAGCACAATGACAGTTAAAGGTGCACTGTGCAGCTTTTTTGTGGTGGAGGAGGTGTCAAATGGTTGTCACAGTATGGTATTAAACCTTTCTATCTTCATAGAGACCAAACCAGACCATGTTACAATTCAGATATGTGGAGAGGCAATCCCGCTCACAGTCAGAATGTCTTGTTTTCTAGGGATATTTGAGCCATAAAACTGTGACAGACTTTTTTCACAATGGCCAGAAGTGCTGTGATGTAGAGTAAACGTAACTCCTGGATAATGCTTTTCTATGGCAAAATATCTCTCGCATGTTTTCCACCAGCTTCATAAATCCACCTCTGCATCACCAAATCTTCATCCAACAAGGTCCAGAAAGAACATATTCTGTCCATGAAGAATTTATCCACAACTATCAAGGTAAGAAAGATGAAAACGTAAAGGCGAACAACTCATGAGCAAAACTAACCTCATGGTCATGAATAAACCATAATAAATGTAATTCATTAATAGGTAACTTTAACTTTTTTAACTTTTTTTTAATTTTTAGGTTACCTCAGACTGACTCAACAATTAAAATTACAAATCTGTTTCACGATGTAGATATCAGCAGAGACAGATAGATTTGATTCGAATGCTACAGATGTTCACAGATTACATGTTTAGCATTTAAACTGCACAAATCTCTGTCTATGCCAACATCTACATCATGAAATCGATTTTTAGTTTTAATTGTAGAATCAGTCTGAGTTGACAAGTTACTTACGTTTTATTCATGACCATAATGTTACTTTTGCTCATGAGTAGTTCACTAATGTGTCATCGTTGTTCGCCTTTACGTTTTCATCTTTCGTACTTTGATAGTTGTGGATAAATTCTTCATGGACAGAATATGTCCTTTGTCAGCCTTGTTGGATGAAGATTTGGTGATGGGGCAGATTTATTAAGCTGGTGGAAAATACGCAAGACATTTCCACAAATATTTTGCCATAGAAAAGCTTTAATGTAAGTGACGTTACATTACATCGCAGCACTTCTGGCCGATGTGAAAAAGGTCTATTGAATAAATGTCTGTTTAATGTCATACTGTGTAATTCCAATAGACAATAGATAATGATTTTTAACATTAAATCGTAGTACTTTATTTT